ACAAGATCTCTAACAACCTATGGAATGTGAGAAAACATTTGCAAACTATATTAGATAAGGGCTAATATCCAAAATATTTAAGGAACTCATACATCTTAATAGCAACATAATAATTTTCTGATTAAAAATGGACAGAGGATCTAAATAAACATTTTTCAAGAGAAGACATACAAATGGCCAACAGGTACCTGAACAGAGCCTCAACTTTACTAATCATCAGGGAGATGCCAGTCAAAGCCACAATGAGATATCACCTCACACCTCTTAAGAATGGCTATTATCAAAAAGGCAAGCAGTAACAAGCACTTGCTAGGATGTGGAGAAAAGAGAACCCTCATGCACCATTGGTGGGAATGCAAACTGGTGCAGCCACTATGGAAAACAGCATGGAGGTTCCTTAAAAATTCAAAAAGAGAACTACCCTATGATCCAGCAATCCCATTTCTGGGCATACACCTAAGGGAAATGAAATCACTATCTCAAAGAGAGATCTGCATGCCTATATTCATTGCAACATTATTCACAATAGCCAAGATGTGGACACAACCTAGGTGTCTACTGATGGATGAATGGATAAAGAAGATGTGGTATGGATATATATAATACATACAATAAATTCATATAAAATAAAATAATCCAAATATTATTATTATTCATAGTATTCTAAGACAAAAATGTAATATATATAAATTTAAATTATTCAGCCATAAAAAAGAAGGAAATCCTGCCATTTGCACCAACATGGATGGTCCTTAAGGGCATTATGCTAAGTGAAGTAAGTCAGACAGAGACAGACAAATTCTGCATTACCTCCCTCATATGTGGACTCTATTTTTTTTTTATTCCAAACTCATAGGGGTGCCGCCTAGGTTGCTCAGTTGGTTAAGCATCTGCCTTTGGTTGAGGTCATGATCCAGGGGTCCTGGGATGGACCCCACATCAGGCTCTCTGCTCAGAAGGGAGTCTGCCTCTCCCTCTGTGCTCTCTCTCACTCTCTCTCAAGTAAATAAAATAAATATTTAAAAAATAAAAAAAATAAATTCCAAACTCATAGAAAACAGAGAAGAGGATGGTGCCAAGCTAGGGGGTGAGGGAAAAGAGGACATGTTGATCAAAGGGTACAAACTTATCAGATGAGTGAGTTCTGGAGATCTAGTACGTGGTATGGTAACTACAGTTGGCAATGCTGTATTGTTTAACTGAAAGTTGCTAAAGAGTAGAGTGTAAATGATCTCAACACACACACACACAAATATTGTAATAATGTGAGATGACAGATGTGTTAACTAAACTTCTTGTGGTGATCACTACACAATACGTATGTATATGAAATCATCACACTGCACACCTTATAGCGTTATGTGTCAACTATCTCAGTGAAGTTGAGACATTATAGAATATCTTGGAATCACTGTCAGAACTGGCAGATTCTGCTTACGAAAGTGACAGGTCAGCAGTGACCTCTCTGACTTCACCAGCTACCTCTCTCCCCCTTGCTTTCTTCTTGCTCCACAAACATGCAGACGGATGTGCACCTTAGGGCCTTTGTGTGTCCTGTTCCTTCTGGCTGATATAAGCTTCCTCCACATCTTCAAATGACTGGCTCCTTCCTGTCATTTGGTTCTTAGCTCAAACCTGGCCTCCTCAATGAGGACTTTGCGGAGCTCCCTTTCTAAATTACCTTGTTCTCCCCAAGGCATTAATCACATCACATCAGAACTTATATCTGAATCTGAAATTATCTTGTTGGGTTTTTAATTTGCTTACTCAAATGGCAGGTGCACAGGAATTTTCTTGTCATTTACTGTGTTAAATGAATAAACACGTAGTCATCGTGCATCTCTTGAGAAAAGCTATACCTTACTTAGGCTGATAAGTTTCACCACATGAACATAGGAGGCATAAACATTGGTTTATGGGTATTTAGTATTTGGGTATTCAGTCAGTGCCAAAAAGCAACTGGAAACTTGCCCATCTTTGTAAATATACAAGGGGTTTGGACGGAGGAGCCAGGGAACTTCTTAAGCAAACAAGATCTCAGACCCAAAAATCAGTATTAGTTGTGAAGAGCAAGATGGTTTATGGGTGAAAAAAAGCCATTTTTCCCCCTTCATTTGCAATTATTTACAGTGATTTGTTTAATTGATCAACTATTTAGTTAAAGGAGCTGGTTCCTCATCTCTAGGTCTGGTTGAAAATCTTATGTTGAAAATCTTCATTACAAACCCCTTGAGCGGATGCAGCATTAAAAACAAAAACGAAAACCCCAACCTACACATATCCAAGTAACATGGGCTTTGGGACAATGGAAGATGACTGCACTAAGAGTAAGGAGATCCACATTACTAGACCCTAAGTAAATTCCACTTACTCATTCGACAAAAACTGAATAGCGCCAGGCATTGTTTAGTAAATTCAGTTAGCGAACACTGCAGGCAAAGTTTCTGTCCTACAGGAGTTAATGTTCTACTGGCGGATAGGAAGAGGAAGATACAAACAACCTGTTCCGGCCCCACTGGCTGCTCTAAAAAAGGCATCTTCGCCTTGTTCCGGTGTCCGGCTGCTGCCTCGCGCGGCCACCGTGGCAGCCACGGACTCCGGCAGCACGCTCACCAGCGCGTCCACCTCTCGCGTTGTTTGTAAGGCGCTGCGTGGGATCGCCCGCTCCTCAGTGCGGAACACCCGCGGCGGGATCTCCGCCTCTGCGGAAAGGAGGCGGGGAATGAAAGAGACGCAGCTGCTCATGGGAAAGCTGAGAAAGAGGGAACTGGCAGCCAGCAATGAGGTGCGTGGGGAAGAGGAGGAAGAGGAAGACGATGGTGAGGAAGAGAGCAGAGATATGAAGATGAGGAGGCTAGGCGGCTGCAGGCGAACAGGCAGCTGAAGATGAGAGGGATGATGGTGACGCCAAGAAGCAGACCAGTGAGGATGACTAGACACCAAAAAAAAAAAAAAAAAAAAAAAAAAAAAAAAAAAAAAGGCGGCCATGACCAATTTACCCTCTACGTCCAGTCTCCGAATCTACACGGGGTCACCCAGGAAAGAGTCCCACGTGCTCCCTCCCACACAACCCAAACCACAACGTGAATTTGCCGCGGAGAAGAAAAAGAGAACCAACATTTCCAAGGCCCTGCTTTTCTCTTAAAAATACTTAGAACGGAAAATGTGTGTGTAATCTTTATTTACACTGTATGTTCTGTACATATTGTTGGGGTCAGCCATTTTTAATTTTGGATAAACAAGCCAGCCTTCGGGGCATTCTCTGTCCTACTTCTGACTCTACTTGTAGTGTGACCACGTTCATTACAATCTCAAAGGAGAAAAAGCTGTAAAAACACGCACACACACACAAACAAAACAATCTTCGAGAATTACAGTAACATTTCTTGTGTATGCACTTAGCTGTACTATAAACAGCTGGTTTGTATGAGATGGTTAAAAAGGCCAAAGATAAAAGTTTTCTTCTTTTTTTCCTTTTTTTTTTTTTTTTTTTTTTTTCCGTCTGTGAAGTTGCTGCCAGTTTTGGCATGTTTTATGTATGTGTAAACATGTCCAATAACAAACCGGAATTTTATTGTGCTGAAAAAACTACAGACCAGGAAAGTTTGTTATCTAAAAGCATGTGGGTTTTAAACTAGATTATCTGTAAAGTTTCTCCAAGCTTTACACATACTAAAAGGGAGGAAAGAAATTTTAGAAGGCTTAGCACTGATTATTTTAGGGGAGTAAAATCATGGATGATTTTTAATTTTTTCCTTGTTTATCATTGTTTTCTGATCTTTTTCTATAAAGAATATGCATTGCATGTGAACTGGACAAATATTTGAGAAAACAGTAGAGAGATTTTACTGTCAAACCTGGGTATTGGTTCTTAGTAACCTGAAGGTAGTCATTCATCCATTAGTAGTGAGAACTGTAAATGGGAATTGTCTTACCCCTCCATTGATTTGCTTATTACTTTACCTTTACTTAATGAGGCTTTGGGGAAACTGCTAAGGGAATCCTGCTCCTTTTCTCATTACCTCTATGTGTACTGACTCTCTACCTAGGGATGATCAGGCACAGGTCCTGGATCAAGCTCGCTCGCTCTCTCTCTCTCTCTCTCTCTCTCGCCCTCTCCAGCCACACCCCACCCCATCATTGCATGCGCAACACACATGTACACACACACACACACACATGTGCACGCACATGGCCTCTTCTCTCCCTTAACCTTCAAATCTCAGTTTAAATGTTACCTCCACAGAGAGGCCTTACCTGAGCAATCTAAGAATTCCATTGCTACCTTAGGCTCACCATACCATCCCTGCTATTCTCAATCCTATCTCTATTCTTGGCCTGTTCTTCTAGAGCACTCTTGTCAACTTGTAATTTCATATGTATTTCATTTCTTTACAAGCCTACTGTCTCCTCCCCGCAACAAGCCTGAAGTTCCCTCATGAAAACAGCAGTGAGCGGTTTTATTCACTACTGTATCACTAGGGCTTAACTAATATTGATTGAGTAAATGAATAAATGAATGCATGAAATGGCTTCTTTGTCCTTTCTCTGTCAAGAGTTTTATTCCCATGCAGTGGTATGCTGCAACCAGTACTTTACCAGCTCAGAAGAGCCAATTGTTAATTATTTCAGGGACTTTGGTAAGCTAGTTGTTAAACTACCTAGTAGCTTGAAATAGCCACGCTGAGAGTATTTCTACCATGGACATTGGCAAATGTTGCATGTCAAGACTTTTTTTCCCCCAAGTTGCTGGTCCGTTAGCACACAGTAGCTCTCATCCCCTAAATCCAGCTATAAATATTGAGATATCATGGCAAAAAACCTGGCCCATAGGTTACTTAAAATCTTTCAGTAAAGAAGGCTTACATTTTTTTAAAAAATATTAAATATATGCTATAAAATGATTTCTCTGTTGGGAATACTCTAGTTTTTTAATAAGCTAAATTATAATCTAAAATATGTATCTTTGATCTCCTGAAGTTTTTGTTTCTGTTTTTCAGATCCTTATGTGAAGATCCATCTGATGCAGAATGGCAAGAGGCTGAAGAAGAAAAAGACAACAATTAAAAAGAACACACTTAACCCCTACTACAATGAGTCATTCAGCTTTGAAGTACCCTTTGAGCAAATCCAGGTAATGTCAAATATAAGTTTGTCTTCCCATTCAATTTTATTTCTTCAGACCAGATAGATGAAAGACACAGACCTTGTAAATTATCTGTGCACATGCCTTCAATAGAGTTGCCATTCTTATTCCCATGCACACTTGATATTCAAGCTACATCAAGAAGGAAATGATGAAATTTACAGCGCAAGATGTGCTGACTCATCAGCCAAAAACAGCTGGCATTCTGTAGAGCAGAAATAAAGTAGGAAGAAGAAAATCAACAGGACGACTCTGCTAACTCAAAAAGTACCATAAAGGTTAAAAGGCCAAGAGAAAATGAATTTTCACTATTCATTCCCAGCCCACAATATGGAATTCTCCTTATCATAGCCTTATAGCAAAAAAAAAAAAAGATAAATATTTTGGTTGATGCTAAATATGCAGCATCTTTAATCTTTCATTATTAAAAGGTGATTAACAATAGAAAAATCAGAGTAAGTCGTATTTTAATTGTTTAAATTTAGCTTCCTGTTTCTGAGTCAGAATGGATGGATATTTTTGCAAAGATGAAACCTTAATTTGCTAGATAATAATTGTTATGATAGGGAGTATTCTATTAAAGGAAACTGTGGATAACATTGTCAAAACAGGATGCTACATGTAGCCACAATAATGGTATATGATCTTATGATTTAGCAATTTTTAAATAATTTTAGGTTCTCTTACCTTCTATCCATAATGAGACTATTGGACCTCAAAGTTTACATCCAATAACTATTGGCTATTTCTTGCTAATCTTTAATGGATATTGGATATTAGACAGATGCCTTAAAGCAACACTACTTTTACATTTTATTAAATAATTGATATGGGTCTATCTTCTCAGTCCTATAAAAGTTTACCCACAACATGAAGGAGAAATGAAGGGTAGGCATCAAAAGTACACCATGGAAATTTCTAAAGGTCCAGAATGTGAAACATCAGGAAATATTCTTTATTTTTACTTTAATCTAGAATCTAATTTAGAGTACAGTATCTTAAGAACAAATCATACCTTTATCCCATGAAGAAAGCTAATATAATAGCTACATTTATTGTATATTTATTATGAGCCTAGGCCCAATTTAAGCACTTTACATACATAATCTCATTGCGTCTTTACAGTAACCTTATGAGAGAGGTTATTATCCCAATTTTATATATAAGGAAACCGAGGCTTAGAATCTCCTCACATATAAAATAGGAATAATAGAATCCACATCAAAGAGATTATGCATATATCGCTTCTCAGCCTTTTGGCTAAGATCAAGTGTAGAGATTATGCATATAAAAGCCCTTGGAACGGGGAACACTCAGTAAATGGTTCCCATCACCATTACTATTCACACTGTTAATTTTGTCTCTTTGTCAAATTAACACTTTATTAGGAAATAGATCTAACAATAAAATTAAAACAATATATGAAACAGTGCTGTCTACTAGAACTCTCTGTGAGGATGGAAATGTTTTATCATCTGTGTGGTCCAATACAGTAGTCACCAGCCGCAAGTAGGTAATGAGCACGTCAGCCACTAGTGTGATCCAGGAACTTTATTAATTTTAATTTACTTCAATTTATATAGCTACATGTGGCCAGGAGCTACTTACTGTATTGTATGGGGCAGTTCTTTAAAAATCACCGGCAGTCCACCATTTTCACATCACTTAATGGGATTTATATAACCTTTCTCGTGCACATTTTCACGTGGTAGTAAACTGCACATACTTACTTTCAACAGTTGTTATATAAGTAAATGACATTGCAGAGGACACTGATCCCCTGTCCCCAGTCACCTGTTTACTAGCCTGAACCAGTGGGGTCACTGCTTTGGATCCACTGGCGACCCCCCAAGATACCCAATTTTCTCCAATTTATTTTGCAATATTTGTTCAGTGAACTCTTTTTTGAGTTCTAAGAACTTACTCCTATGGAAACTTAACGCCTCCTGGAGTTTTGTTTTTTAATACTGCAAAACAATACAAGGCGGGGTATTGTGATGAAAAATCCTATTGTAAATTTTCTTTGAGCTACAATTCTACACCTATTTTAAAAAAAAAAGGAAATGTTCTTTTACAACTATAAATTGCAGCAAATGTAAATATATTAAAAATGAAGAGGGACGCCTGGGTGGCTCAGTTGCTTAAGCCTCTGACTTGGGCTCAGGTCATGATCTCTGGGCTCCTGGGATCGAGTCCCGCATCAGGCTCCCTGCTCCGCGGGGAGTCGGCTCACCTCTCCCTCTGCCTCTGCCGGCCTCCCCTGCCTCCCCGACCTGCCCTCGTGGGCCATGCACGCCCTCTCTCCCTCAAATAAATAAAATCTTAAAAATAAATGAAGCACATTAAAAACAAGACCTATGCTGGGTTTCTGGGGCAGCATTTTAGAGTCTTCTGTCAGGACAGAGAGAATCTGAACCCATCACGGATTACGTTAGGTGCGGCGATAAAGAGCCCACCTTCGACTGCGTCCCTTGTCTTTCTCAGCTTCTTGTCAGTTTGTCCTTTTCCTTTTTCTTCTTCTCTTTTCTTTTTTAGTTTTCCCCAGGAGACTGCTTTCCTAGTTTTCCTAGAGAAACAGTTGAGCATTTTACATACGAAAATAGGGGTCTGGGTTTCCTTTATTCTGAGGTTATAAGATTATCTGGTTTCTATCTGTCTCTATCCCTGTGAAATATATTATGAGCAAAATATGCTGATTTCCAAAAGTACATGTAAATGTTATAACCTGCAAATGTATAAACTACATATGCAGCTGCAAAAAATTAATCCAAGGCCTTTAGAAGGAGATTGTCTTGAGTACTATCAATCAGTCCCTTCCTAGATGAAATAATCAAAACCTACTCCAACCATTTACTCCAACCTCCAAAAACCCCATTTTACCTTTGTGCATAATGTCCCTAATTAACTCCTACCCCCCATTCCCTACAATATGATTTCATCCTGATGAATTTGCTTGGGAAAAGTTCTGAGAATTTTTCTGAGAACCAAAGTGATTCTGTTCTCTGTTCCAAATACCATCCAGTGGATAGATGACGCCCTTGATAATGGAATCTCTCCAAGGCTGCACAAGGGAAGATGGTTTGTTTCCTTTATTGCCAATGTGTTGCATTTTACATTCCAAATTCCACTTTCAAGAGCGGTCATTTTCTCTGCTGTGAAGCTGTCTGTGGGTGCCATCTCTTAGCACACTGGTACAATAATGCAGTCCTCAGAGTACAAAGTCCATGAAAGGGCCAGAACTCAGCAGGAGCTTCATTTGGCCCTGGCTTCCATCATTACATTTTCCGTTCCTTTTAACTCTGGCCACCAAATGTTATGCATTATACTTTATTCTAAACTCTTCCTTTATCTCTGCACTCAGTTTCTAGATTAGAGCCATCACATATTTTGACTAAGCAAATCCATTACTTAGGAAGCAGAACTAAAATGTGCTTTCAAAAAGTGTGTCTTTCATATCATAATGGCGGGGGTTTGCTTTCGTTGATTCAGGCAGTTCTAAAAAGTAAGTTATTAAATAAACTCTCACAATGTAATGGGATAACTGAAGTAAATCTTGTGTGGCCTAAAAGGTTATTTCCATTTGAGATCAGCGCTGGATATGCAACAGTTACTCAGCAAATGTTTATTGAGAAAATGTATAAATGGGGAAATTATCTTTAGTTATTACTTTTTAAAGATTTTCATTCTATTGTTACATTTAATACTCACAATAATTATGTGATTATTATACTGAATACCAATGCCAGAAATCTTGCTGATGAGACAGTTGAAACAAATGGACTTAGAGGTGGACACAGTTGACAAAGACAGAAGGCATGGTGGAGTATATATAGCACAGACTGTGAAAACCAACCCACTCGTTCCTTACATGACCCCAGGCCGGGGACTTCACGGCATCTTCTTTGTGTAATGGCAATATTAATAGGATCTATTGTGAGAAGTAACTGAGTAGTTCATGTAAAAGAATTGTGCCAAATACCTGAAAAAATTTAATGTGTATTCAGTATTTTGAAGCTGAAGACGGTGATGACGGTGACATCATAATGGTGAAAGGGGGATTGGACTCAGGTTTTCACATTGAAGTCATTTTCAGTCTTGGCCCGGTGTTTTCAGACTGGTTCTTATTTCCAGTTGCTTAGCTCTCAAGGCAGCTTTGTAAGAGGGTAGGGTGATTAATGTTTCTTTTGTGTTCTCTTTCAGAAAGTGCAAGTGGTGGTAACTGTTTTGGACTATGACAAGATTGGCAAGAACGATGCCATCGGCAAAGTCTTTGTGGGCTACAATAGCACCGGGGCGGAGCTGCGACACTGGTCAGACATGCTGGCCAACCCCAGGCGACCCATCGCCCAGTGGCACACCCTACAGGTAGAGGAGGAAGTTGACGCCATGCTGGCAGTCAAGAAGTAAAGGAAAGAAGCCTTTCTGCGTTTGCCCACATAGTGCTCTTTAGCCAGTATCTGTAAATACCTCAGTAATATGGGTCCTTTCATCTATCCAGCCATGCATTCCTAACACAATTCAGTGGTACTTCAAATCCTGTTTTAATTTGCACAAATTTAAATGTAGAGAGCCCCTAAGTCCTTCATCATGCCACTGCCCTCCAAATCTACTCTTCTTTTAAGCAATATGATGTGTAGATAGAGCATGACTGAAATTATTTATTGTATCACACTGTTGTATATACCAGTATGCTAAAGATTTATTTCTAGTTTGTGTATTTGTATGTTGTAAGCGTTTCCTAATCTGTGTATATCTAGATGTTTTTAATAAGATGTTCTATTTTAAATTATGTAAATTGACTGAGATATAGGAGAGCTGATAATATATTATATGGTAAATATAGTATTGTCTGCATTCCAGCAAAAATATCAACTTGTGAGGCACTAGTACAGTCAAACTGACGTCTTAAAGGACAACTTAAACCTGAGCTTTCTATCGACCATTTGAGAACCAAGATACACTGACACCACATACTTGGTGGGTGAATCCAATTCTGTAGAATTTCTTCACAGGCAAATTAGCATGATCTGAGCAGCATCCAGACCGACCTCCAGGAAGCATAGCCACAAACCAGAACGGCGTCTGTCCGTACATATCTACAAAGCTAAAACCAGGGCTTCACTCTAATATTTGAGGAAGCAACTGAACAGGAGTCAGTGATTTCATATAACTGCATATAGAGTAACAACACGACGGTGTTCCGTGTGTGTGGGTGGGTGGGTGGGTGGGTTTGGGTGTGTGTATGGGTGCATTTGTTTGGGGATGGGGTGGGTGGGAAGAAGCTGAGGGCAGAAGTCAGCATTTCTGAAATATTGCCTGACTATTTAAAAAGAAAAAAAAAAGTAGCTCTCCGTTATCACCTTTATACAAATGTGCATCCTGTGAATTCTGCTCCAGATTTCATACCTATAATAATTCCAAAAGGTTTGCACATTAGACTTTGTAACAAAATATTTTATTATACAAAACTGTATTAGAAGGAATGCAGAATATTTTTAACACAGCAATCTGTGCTTATTACACAAAATTACTTTGTGGTAAACAGACAGTATTGTAATCCCATCAAAAGATGAAAAAATAAACAATTAGCCATAGTTCTGAATGCACTTCAATTAAGCCAAAACAGACAGCTAGTGATCTTTTTATATGCTCTTTTTACTTAAATAAGTTTTAATTTGTCCTTTAAAAAAAAAAAAAGGTGAAACAATACCAAGAACAAGTTCTAGCAAACTGAAGCAACCTCTTATGTATACTAGATGCTCGATTTAGGAGGAGTTTTTAAATGTTCTCAATGTCATTATGTAGTACATGGCACTATAATGAAGCTACTAGTCATTCCCTAAGAGTCTTCAAGGACTGCTCTGTGTAACACTGTGACTGCCGTGTGTGCTTAGACACGTAGTTTCCTCAGTGGATAGCACTCAGTTTATTCCGTAGTGATGTTGTAACAATACTGCCATTCCCTTCTACTGCACTGCCCAAGGTGTGTGTAGCACAAACAGTTCTCATTACTAAGGACCAATTCAGAACTGAAAAGCTATGCATAGGACAAGAAAGATACATAGAATGGGGTGGAACACACAGCATTTTGTCAAGCACTGTGCAATATTCCATATTTTTTCCCCACTCTGGTAGACGACCACTCTGTGGAAGGGCAGCCTATTAGCTCACGCTGCATTCATGCACTTCTGTGACCCATTTCAACTCCGAGGCCACAGACAGCAGTGATGCCCTGAGGTGAAAGTTTATCTTCGCAAATACCAAAACAAGGAGGAAAACCAAGTATTAGTCTCATGTTCAGACTCTAGGATATTATGCCACGTTTTTTAAAAACTACAGAGAATTCAAAAAGGGCTGATGGGAGGCTTCACACACAAGGTTGGCTGTTTCCTGATAAAACTAGAATTCCTGTCATTCTTCTTTTCTCATCAAAGAAGAGGCAAGCCCTTGGCCTTTCAGCCTAGTCAGGGCAAACTCGTCAGGACTGGGACAGACACAAAGGACGAGGGAGTATAACCTCTCTTCTGTGGATGGCCCGTACTTTTTAAAAACATAGATAACAGAAGAGGCACAAGTCATGATGTGAGATTGAATATCAGTTTGAACAGAGTCAAATGAGAATCTTTCCAATTTAAAAGACCAAACCCTACCAAAGAGAGGGAGTCGACTGACTTTTAAAAATTCCTTCAACATCAGAAACTGACATTTAATTTCACTGTATTCAGCTTTAAGTTGTTCACACTGAAACAACACTTTCAGGCAAGCAGGTTCGAGCTGCCGAATACACATTATTTCTTGCATTAAAGTACTACTAATGCATTCTCTTGCAACACTGCCAGACATGGGACTGTCACCATAGAATTAGTTGGGACTATGCCATGTTTCACCAGTCAGTGATTGAACCTGCTTTAAAGACCAAGATTCATCCTTAGATAGGCCACATGTACCTTTCTGACAAAGCTGTGTAAGTATTAGAAGCTGATGCTCTAGAAAGATCCTAGTTGCCTTTGTGTATATTTACTGCCTGCTTGAGTGTTTCTATGTGTGGGTTTTCTCTGTATCTTGTAGAAATGTTGGGGTGTTCTCTTCTGCCATATGGCTCGTGGCCCGCGAGCCAACTACTTTAGCTGTATTTACCTTCGTTTTTGATGAGGTGGTTTAAATTTTGTTTCACTTTGTGTAGTGACCCCACAGTAGTTTTCTGATTGTTGTTAAAAATGACTTAACATATTACATGGATATTCAATTAAAATGTTTTATTTCCTGTTGATGCTGCCGCCTTTCAACTCTTTCTCTTCCTTGACTGCTGGGTCAGAGGCCTGTGGACTTTGGGGGCTGCGGGAAGCAGTGGCCACTGAACAAAAACCTGCACTGACTGCCGGGCCCTGAGTCGTGACTGTGAATACAGAACGGCTGACTGATGCGGAAACAACGCCCAGAGAGCACGGGCCACCACTGCCCAGCGCTCCCCGGTCCCCATGAGTTTCTCGCTTCCTGTCTATCAGCAGTTCATCCGGCACACATGCAGGCTTTCTGCTCTGCCCAAAAGGTGTCCTCCAGGGTTTTTATTCTACGGCTTGAGTCACATCTTGTCTCCAAAATGGGACTGAAAATAAGATTTTTTAAATTCCGTTCTCAGAGCGTAGCATGCCGCATTAAATTCCCTGCCTCCTGCCATGACTAGGTAAAACAAGTAAACATCTTTCCTCCCCTCGATTCGACATTGATTAGCGCCTCCTGTATACCATGTTTTTACTGGATGCTGGAGAGACAACAGATGATGTAATAAGGTACCCCTGGCCCCAAGGAGCCCACAGGCTCAGACACGTGAACACCATCACAATACATAATGATGGCACCCTGAGTCGCTGAGAAACTTCTCTAAACCAATCACAGTGGACGCCACAGTGTGCCAGCCTGATCCCCCCTTCAACACTGAGGCACTCAACCTGCAGCTGCTGGAAACCTTGCCTGATGGCAGCTCACAGCTGTATCCCTCTGCCCTCTACGGAGGAAGCTGCCTAACTAAGGTCAGGCATCCTCCCCGGCCACATTCCATGGCCCATGCAGGATCTCTCTGAAGCGGTCTCTCAGTTTCCAGCCCCAAGGGTTAGTTGAGAAGGCTATTGAAACTGCAATGCTGTTCACCTTCTCCCTCTCCCCAATCCGTTCTCCTCGCTCCTTTCCAGAGGTTTTTCCCAAGAGCATTTCTCCGTAAACCCCCTTCATCTCAGAACCTGTACCCTGAGGATCCCAGCCTATAACACATTGTTTGGGGGAGCAGATATCAAGAAAAGTTTAGAGGTTAAGTCCTAAAGGAACTGGTAGGAGTTATCCAAGTCAGAGAGTGGGCAAGATTTATCTCATTATCAAGGCTGGCCACACCATATTCCCTTCAGCCAGCTTTTATTAGGCACTGCCAAATAAGGATAGGGCCTGAGCCAAAATTGCTTAGGCAGACAGGGGAAAGGCCATTTAATTATGTGCACTCTGAGGACGCAGTTGACAGAGTTCTAAATGTAAGTTGAGGAAAAGAAATTTAAGGCCCACCTTAAAGGTTAGGTGCAAAAACAAAACAAAACAAGAAAAGAAATAGGCATTAAATATATGTGTTTGGTTTCCAAGAGTGAGCATTTTGTTTTTCTTAAATAGCTCTCAAAATTTGGTACAAAACTATTTAAAGAATATTTCTTAATTACAAAACAAACAAACAAACAAACACCTCAACCTTTTGTCAATGTCTGTTTTCCCAAAAGGCTTTTAGGTTTCAGATACATACACTTAGGATATGCATTAGGTGTTTTAGGACAACAAAATTATTCCAGGTATTTCAAAGAGGGAATTTAAGAAATTGGCCACATAGAGAGGGCTGAGAAAGCCACGTACAGACTGTGGGTTAACCTAGAAGTTAATAGATGCCATCTGTAGTTGTATGCTAGGGTTGCCCTAATAAAATACCACCGACCTGGTGGCCTAAACAACAACAAATTTCTTTTCTTACAGTTCTGGAAGTCAGAAGTCCTAGATTGAGGTGTCAGCAGGGTTGGTTTCTTCTAAAGCCTCTCTCTTTGTCTTGTAGATGGTCATCTGGTCCCACTGTCTTCATGTGGTCTTCCTTCTTTTTGTGTCTGGGTCCCCAACCTCCCCTTCTTGTAAGAACATGAGTCACATTGAATTGGGGTCCACCCTAATGACCTCAGTTTAATTTAACTACCTCTTTAAGAACCCTATCTCCGGGGGACCTGGGTGGCTCAGTCATTAAGCGTCTGCCTTCAGCTCAGGTCATGATGCCAGGGTCCTGGGATCGAGCCCTGCATCGGGCTCCATGCTCAGCGGGAAGTCTTCTTCTCCCTCTCCCACTCCCCCTGCTTGTATTCCCTCTCTCACTGTGTCTCTTGTCAAATAAATAAATAAAATCTTAAAAAAAAAAAAGAACCCTATCTCCAAATAAAGTCACATTCTGCGGTACTGGGGGTTAGGACTTCAACATATGAATTTGGGGGGGCGGGGCACAATTCAGTCCATAAACACCAGGGTAAGGCTGGATAAACAAAATGGAGGGATGCCTGGTGGCTCAATCAGTTAAGTGCCTGACTTCAGCTCAAGGCATGATCTCGGGGTCCTGGGATCAAGCCCCGAGTCGGGCTCCCTGCTCAGCAGGGAGTCTGCTTGTCCCCCTCTGCCCCTGCCCATCCCCCTGTTTGTGCTCTCTCTCTCAAATAAATAAATAAAACCTTAAAACAAAACAAAACAAAATGGAGAAGATAGTGTTACCATAGCCCAGAACTCTAAAGGAGGGGCTAGAACCTGGGGGAGGTATCATGGAGCCCCTCTTTTCTGGAACCACCAAAGGGTATCAGGTGCTGGTGCTGGGACCAACAAAGAGGCTTCACACTGGCCATTCTGGGAATGCCACAAGACCCTGATCCAGTAGCAGCCCCACTATTGGCTAGAGGAAAGCCAATAGAAGCTAGAAGCAGGAAGAAGATTTTTTTCTCCTCTCCCCCTACCTTCTCGTTCCACCGGGGCTTCCCATTGGGAAAACTGAATCAGAGTCAGCT